AGGAAGGAAGGAAGGAAGGAAGGAAGGAAGGAAGGAAGGAAGGAAGGAAGGAAGGAAGGAAGGAAGGAAGGGACGGACTGTGAAAGCTGATAATTCTGGAAGATTATTTTACAAGGAAAGTATAATGAATGGAGAAACAGTGCTTATAAATACCATTTAAGCGACTACTGCAATGATTATTTAATGAGGGTCTGGATCACTAACATATCAATGGGACTGAAAAGAAGACACAAGTATAGGCCATGTTGAAGAAGAAGACATTTCATACATCAGTAACTGTTATGGACTGAATGTTTGTACCTCCTCAAAATTCATATGTTGAAATCCTAACCTGTAATGTGATGGCATTAAAAGGAAGGGTCTTTGGGAGATAACTAGGTGATGGGAGTGGAGCCCTCATAAATGGCATTAGTAACATGATAAGGAGAGACATGGGTGTGCTCCCTGTCTCCGCTCTCCACCATATGAAGATAGAATGAGAAGATGGCCATCTGCAAATAAGGAAGTAGGTGTTTACCAGACATCGGATCTGCCAGCACCTAAATGTTGGACTTCCCAGCCTCCATAACTGTGAGAAATAATTCTCCTGCTGTTTAAGTCACACAGTCTATGCTATTCTGTTACAGTATCCCTAACTGAATACGACAGTAACAGGATACAAAGTCAGCTCTTAAAATCCAGGATTTTGAAGGAAAGAGTTGCACTCCTGGCATAAAGCAGGATGGACAACAAATTTGATTTTGTGACTGTTGGTGTTGGAAAGAGAGCCAAAGAAAAGAAGATAGGCGGAGAAAACCACTGAAAACAGAATCTTAGGGGAACCTTCAACTAAGAGGTCATGAAAGATGTCAGAGATGACAGAGAAAGAGCAATTGGGGAAATAACTGATTCATTAGAATAGAGAATAATGGAAACCAAGGAAATGATATCAGGAGTAGTCAGTGAAACCAAGTGCTGTGGAGAAATTAAGGGATCCAAGGACTGAGAACAGACACTGGAATAGGAAGAGAGAGTGTTTTACTGGTGCTGATTTTCAAAGATCAGAGTCAAGTCTCAGAAGTGATGACTGCTGCCATATGCCTGAAAACCCTAGAAAAAGTTCTCTCATCTTGTCATCTTTCAAGGCAAAATTCCAGATGACTTTCTGCTTTATCTTCAATGATGTATTTGATGATGTATCCCTCTAGCAAATACAAGTGTCAAAAAAAGCAAAGTAAAAGGAGTATGTGTCTCCATTTCTCACTCTTTAATATGGGATTCTAGAAGGAAGCTATCAGGCTACTTATCATCATTTGCCTCTAACAGACAAAATGACTAATGCATTTGGAGATGTTCAGATTATTTAGAAAGTCAGCCATAAAATGATAAAGAGAGGGCAGACCCCCTAAATGCTATTTAACAACCTTGTCCCCTATTCATTATATTGAACCATACTCACACAGGATTAGTATAAAGTTCTAAGTAACTTTTAGGACTTCATCAAAGGGTTTTTATTTAATCATAAAACAGTCCACAAGCTAATATTTTGTAAGAATATGAAAAATTAGTAATGATATCAAGTTAATATCACAGTATTTACCAAATAATTTTTGGTGAGGTTGAATTAGGATCTAATTAAGAAATTGTGGGTTTACATACCTGTGGTACCCATCTGGAAGACACAAAGCTAGTCACTTCTATTACAGACAAGCCAGTTTGAGAAAGTCGATTGATAAATTCAATTTTTATATCTGTAGGAACTATAACCTATGAAAACAAAAAATATTTTATAAGTAAATTATATAGGGTCTACCGAAGCACAAATAGAAAATTACTTCCTAAGTCAAAGTGAGTATTATTTGTAATTTATACATTCAAGTAGCAATTGAGAAAAGATATATAATCGTGTAACATGTGAAATCCACGTAAATCTTTACAATCTTAAATCTATTAATATTTAGACAGCATTTGAAGTAAATGATATAAAACTACCTTTTCATTCTGCAATCCATCCCTAGGCCCAACTTCTACTATTTTAACAAACTCAGGGAGTCCAGATAACTGGGATGTTTCCTGAAATGCAAAACGTAAGAACAAGAAAACATAACTTTTAGATTGCTACACTTGCTTATTTGAAAAGTTAAACAAGTGCACTTTGTTATACTCTTACCCTAGAGAATTAAAATAGTGAGAAATCAATAAAATGATATGAAAATGCACTATTTATATTACTGGCAACATGAAGTATTTTTTCCTTATAACCAAATGATATTTAGTCTAGTTATGATTAAAATTCAAAAGATTAATTTATAAAATATAATTGAAGAATAATTGATTTACTCAGGACCTAAAGAGCAAATCTGTTGGGTGAGTCTGTGTATGACGATAAACTAACTACTGTTAGAGTTCATTTAAAAATTACATCTTGGCCAGGCACGGTGGCTCATGCCTGTAATCCCAGCACATTGGGAGACTGAGGTGGGCAGATCATGAGGTCAGGAGTTTGAGACCAGCCTGGCCAACATAGTGTAACCCTGTCTCTACTAAAAATACAATAAATTAACTGGGGAAGGTGGCAGGCACCTATAATCCCAGCTATTTGGGAGACTGAGGCAGAAGAGTCACTTGAACCCAGGAGGCAGAGGTTGCAGTGAACTGAAGGTTGCGCCATTGCACTCTAGCCCAGGCAACAGTGCGAAACTCCGTCTCAAAA